GATACCAGGGATGTGGTCCTTGATGCATTCTCGAGGAAGGGTGATATGAAAGGATTTGGTCACAAGGCAGTGTGGGAACAGTCTGACTTCCCCAAGTGCACACATTTGCATATATATGCATAAAAATAGAGGCTTACAAAACATCTAAATAAAAAGATGTAAAAATATGGCCGGGGATTTAGCTCAGTGGTTCCAGCACCTGCCTCACAAGCGCACGGTTCCGAGTTCAATTCCTAGTACCAAATAAAAAAGATGTAAAAATAAAGCAGTAAAAACCAGTATAATAATGGGTACAATTGCACATAATACAGAAGTTAATTTAAATGAAGTAAGGGATGACCATGTAGCTCAGTGGTAGAGTACTTGCCTAGCATGTGTGAGGCCCTGGATTTAATTCCCAGTACTGCAAAAATAAAAATAATGGTGTGGATATACATGCATCAACAAGCAAAAATCTAGAAAATAAAATATTGAATGAAAAAAGCAAGTTGCAGAATAAGAAGTATAATATGATACCACATAACATTAAGTTAAAATCTCACCCCAAAGGAAACTGTCTAGGGCCAGGGATTTAGCTCAGTGGTTTTGCTGCCTGCTGCGCAAGCGCAAGGACCCGAGTTCGATCCCCGGTACAAAAAAAGAAAAAACAAAAGAAACTGTCTTGATTATCAATAAATAAATATATACCTGGATGAAAGCATCGAGGACATGGGACTGGGAAATGTATCCACTGCCTCAAGATAATGGTATCTGTGGGCAAGAAAGGAGAGGACTGAATTGAAGGAGGGTTCAAAGAAAACATCAACTATTAGGTTATATTTTTTTTTATCAAAACTTCAAACTTATGGAAAAGGGGTAAAAGATATTATATATTCTTTGCACTGTCCCTCATATTTAAATATTTCATAATACTTACGAAAGTTAAAAGAAGTACAGATGGTCCTTGACTTATAATGGCTTGGCCATGAATTTTTTGACTTTATGAAGGTGGGAAATAGGTAATAACCATTCTTCAAATTTTGAATTTCGATCTTTTCCTGGATTAGTAATATGCAGACCCTCTCTTGATGCTGGGCAGGGGCAAAGAGCTGCCACTCTCAGTCAGCCATGTCATTATGAGGGGAAACAACCCCCTACGGTGCACCTTGTTGGCTTTTTGGATTGTTTTTTCTGTTTGCACATGTCCCATTATATCTACAAAATGCCCATCTGAGTCTCCTGCTACTGGTGAAAAGAAAAGGCAGGCAATTACTCTGGAGAGAAACTCAAGAAAATTGCCCAGCATGAAAGCCACATCCCAATAATGACCATCACACATGTGAATTAGGACTTTCAACACAAATAGCTTGACCATCTTAAAGCATAAGGAGTGGATGTGTGACACAGTGAAATTGTCAGCATGCAGTACATCCACTATGAGCATAAAGAAAAGGGATAGACCAACAGCTGACATGCAAAATTCATCATGTGGTTGGAAGACTCGCTATAGGAGTGCCTACCACTTAGCCTACTGATGACCAAGGCTAAGATAAGAGCCCTTGCCTGTGTGTTAAAAGAGCATTCTGGTGATCCTACATGTGCATAAATGTTTGTAGAAAGTCATGGGTGGTCCCAAGGCATCACTGACCTCATAATCTTTTCATCACGAAGGTCAGAAGTAAGGCAGCAAGTGCCAATACCAAAAGGTGCCAAAGCCTTTTTATTTATTTATTTAGGTACCAGGAATCAAACTCAGGACCTTGCGCTTGCAAGGCAGGCGCAGTGCCACTGAGCCAAATCCCTGGCCCCCAAAGCCTTTATTAAGGAAGAGATGCATAGGATAATTGTGGGTGAGAAATACTGCAAATGCAGAACTTAATGTTAATGAAATGACTATGTTTCTGGAAGCATATCATGAAGCACACATACATTCCCCAAGAGTCCAAGAAAATGCAGGGTTCAAGGCATTCAAAGACTGTGTGATGCTTCTCTGGGGTGGAAATGTTCCATCTTCAAATTAAATCCTTTCTTGTCTACTGCCCAGAGAACCCTAGAGCATTCAAGATTGCAAGCAAGCATTTACTTCCCACATATTATTACTGGAGCAAGAAACATCTTCGTTTCAAGACTGATTTTCTTACTAACTTTCTGAGAAAGCCGCAAGGAGAGCAATGCCAGTCAAATGGAGAAGCCATGAGGGCTGCAACCACCTGCAGTGTCTTAGGGGAAGGGCTGCCTAAGCCATTCATGTTGGGAGCAATTCTACACAATTGTGGGGAAAAATCATTTCACAATTAAATCATGATTAGGGTCTATTTTTCCTGCCTACAGACCAGCATGTGGAGACAACTCCATCTCCGCCTCCAGTCACACCTAAAACCTCAATGGTCCAGTGATGCTGTGATGGTCCAGGACAAGATTACACCAGCTGAAGACTTCCTGGGAGGAACAAAATCTTCATCTGCATAGTTCCTTATTGTTCTAGGATTTTCCGAGCCGCTGCCCTTTGAGTCGCCTTTTACATTTGTTACTCTCTGGATATACAGAACTCTCTCTGCCCTGAGTCATCTGTTACATTTGTTTCTCTTGATGGACTGAATAAAGGTGTGGCAAGCTCAGAGGCTTTCATCTTTGCTGCCCAGACCAGCACTGATGGGCCCAAAGCTCATCTTCTTCTCTAAGTCTCATTTTTTCTATCTTTTCTGTTTAATAAACTAATTCGCCTTGTGCTATCATGGCTCACAGGAGACTAGGACTTACTGCAGCGGTTCTAGGAATGTCCCCTTTCCCTGTTCCCCACACATTCAGAGTGTGCATCTTACCACAATCTGCCCCTGGTGCTGGACATGGAGCTATAGGACTTAATCTTTACTCTACTGGGTTTTAGTTTACTTTGATCTGATTCTTTTCTATCCTCCTGTTTCTCCTTTTTGGAATGAGAATGCTTGCCCTGTGCCACTATATGTTGGAAGTGTTTAACTTTTTGTTTTAACTTCTTTTTGACTTTACAAGGATCACAGCTAAAAGTTTAAGTCTCAAAAGAGACTTTGGAGATGGATTTTTCAGCAATATCAAAACTATTAGGACTTTGGCAACTCTTAGAGATGAACTAAAAGGATTTTGCATAAAAGGATACACATGAGTCTTTGGGGATCAGGGGAGAAATGTTGTGGTTTATACCTTGATGCTCCCCAAGAGCCTCAAAGGTGGAGCTTTTGGAAAGTGATTAGATTATGAAGGCTTACAGATGACTTACCATTAAGAAGTGGCATCTTGTCAGAAGACGCAGGCCACTTGGGCTGTGGCCTGGCAGGGTTTATCTGCTTCCCAGGCTCCTCCCTTCACTCTCTGCTTCCCCACAACCACTCTGTGGGCAGGTCTTCTCCGCCATGCCCCTTGGAGCCAGCCAACTATGGACTGAAACCTCTACAGACTTTGAGCCAAAATAAACCTCACCTCCTTTAAGTTGCGGATGTTGGATATTACGTCTCAGCAATGAGAAGGCAATTGAGACAAGGCCCCACCTCCTAACAATACATTCACTTATTGATTCATGAATAGATGAATCCACTGGTGAGTGTAGCACCCGCATGCTCCAATCACCTTCCCCACACACATGAGAATTTTGGAGGACATTTTAAATCTAAACCATAGCAATGAGTGCCCATAAAACTATTCTATTTACACATTCTGTGCAGTATTCAATAAATCACATGAGAAACTCAAGACTTTAGTATCACTGGAGCTTTGTGTTAGATCAGATGATTTTTCTCACTGTGGACAAGTGTAAGTGTTCTGAACATGTTTACAGTAGGCTGGGCTAAGTTATGATGGTGTGCAGGTTAGCTGCATGAAATCCATTTTCAATTTATGATTTTTTTCAATATACAATGGATTTATCAGGCTATAATCCCATCAAAAGTTAAGAAGCATCAGCAGTTCTTCATCCTTATGAATATTAGAAAACTTTATTTCGGTGTAAGGAGAAATCTTTCAAAATGACTACTTCAAGAGGTTTTTAAAAATTGAATTTTTGTGACATCTAGTGGTAACATAAATTGCCACAATTTAAAACATAATCAGAAAAAAGTTTGACTCAATATATTAATATGTGTATTCTTGGTTTCATTTGGTTTTTCTGAAGCTTCTGCTTTTGAAACAATCCTTACCTCTTGTTGTCTGTGTGCTCTAAAACAGAAAAGATTCACACCATGGACTTGGATTTAGAAAAAAGAAAAGAAAGTGAAGTTCTCCCAAGGACCCAGGATGTACCTGAAACATTAAAGAGCCTAAGAGCACAGAACACACGTCTAGTGAGATATTTTCAACCCCTGCCAAGTGTTTGTATCCACTGATTGATGTAGAAGAAATGATGCTGCTCAGCACTCCAAGACTTTATTTGGTTCCCATTCAACTTACTCTATGTGGCCACTCTCTACAACATCCCTGGATGTCATAACCCCAAAGAAAAAGGCAGGACTCGGGTGCCCAGATGGGCAGAGAGGCAAGTTTCCTTATTTGTTCTTGAGTGAGGGTAATTGAGCTAAGCATGAAAAAACTCCCCAGTAGGCAGAAGAGAACACTCCTTCCCCCAATGAAGTCACATCATAGAAGCGCGGATTATAGGTTCCCAGAGAGCGTTACCTCCCAGCAGACTGGAGAAGGTGCTGTGACTATTTCCAGTAGGAATCATTCCTTCTAAGGCAGGTCAGAAGCTCCTAAGCCTGCCACAGTGCTGGGCCCCTTCACCCTAGCAGCCCAAAGAGTCTCCTCTCGGGCCATCTTGTTCTGCCTTGATGCATACATTCTTTGAGCTCATATCTTGCCTCTGTTGGCTGCTTCAGCAAACTCTCTTTCTTCTTTTTCCCCAGTGAAATCACACAAATAATCTTGTACTGGGGCAACCAAACAATATTTTAAAGCTACTTTTAAACCCCATTTTTACAGTTGTCTTTAGAACGGGAAAAAGTAGAGTTTGAGTTTGGAGGAAAACAATACAAATCAGGGGCCATGGTTTGAAATTTGAAACAAGCAGAGAAATTTATTGATCTTAGGCTGGTTGATCCTACAAATCTTGATCAATGTTTAATGCAACCTAAAGGCAAAATAAAAAGTAAATATGGTTTAATATAATGAAAACTGTGAATGAGTAAAAGTTAACAAAAATAAGAGTTCAAGTAATTCCTATGTGACTATGTAAATAAGCTTTTTGAGTTTCAGGTGATGTTAAAGACTATACAAAGAGAATAAAAACATAAATTATGTTTGTCAGGTATTTATTATCCCATCCCTTCTTTCATGTGCTCTTCCCTTCTCATCCTTGTGAGGGTCCTTTTCCTATGGCCACCCCTTAGGTTTGGATTCTGGTGGCTTCTCTTGGAGCCCAGTGACCTTCACATCCTGCTTTCCTAGATGCCTGGCTCCTTCCCCTCACTCAGTAGCACAGATGCCCACAGCTACTGAATTTAAACCTCCTGCCTGGGCCTCCTTCCTGTCCTCCAGATCCACACCATACATCAAGTGGTCTTCTGCCACTTTGTCCTGAACATCTCAGGGTCATCTCTCCACAAGAGAAGCTCTGTGTCCAAAAAAGCTACTTCTTATTCTTATGTTCATCAACTCATCAAATGGTAACACTGTTGGCTCAGTTGCCCACAGAAGGAGTTTGGGCTTCATTTTTCACTCCATCTTTCTCTTTTCCACTAGCCAATCTCAAGCACTAAGGTTTCACCTCCACTGTCTAACCTTGCATCTGATGACTGCAGTGGCCCCTTTTCCACATCTGCGGCACTCTAATCCTATTCCATCTTATAAAAACACAGATCTAAGCCCTAAAGCCGTTCAGTAATCCTCACTGAGTTCAAGTGCAAACTCCCCAACACAACCTGCAAAACTCTGCATGGTCTGGCCTCCCCTCCTCTCCAGCTCTAATCTCACCATCCTCCGAGCTCCATGTAAGTCAGGCACAGTACTATCTTGCTTCAGCCCCTCAGTAGCAGCCTGCTCTCCTCCATCCTCTGGGCTCATCTCAGGCTAAGTCCTTGAACTTCACTTCCGCAGGAAGACTTGTCCAGATGAGTCCAGGTCTCCTTGTCCTTGTCCCTCAGAGCATTTTCTGGCTGGCCCATGGCCCCCCCCAGGAAGGTGTTTTGTTCATGATTACTTACTAGCTCCCTGTAGTATAATTTTCACAGACATTTAATAAAAATGTATCACAGAGTCCTTCCAGGCACTTCCTGAGAAGGTCTTGAAAATATCCTTCTTTGTCAGGTCCCCAGTGTCTCGTCTGTCTAGGTCACTGTAGATTTCTACCAAAGCTCCTAACTGGCCTCCTTATACCTACTTCCCCATTCTTTTCCCCACACTATGCACTGTAATTGAAAAGTATGGTCAATATATAAATTTCTAAAATGTATTACAGTAAAAGACACATAGCCATTAATCCTCTCAAAATATTCCCTCACTCTGAACATACACCTCACTGTTGTTGCCACTTTCTGAAGCAGTTTTGAAAGTCCTCTTTCATGAGTATCTTTACAAGATGTGATCAAAGTATAGTGAATGCAGCTACTGAATGCCACCCAAAGGAGCGATGGCTCACACAAATGTTAAGGCGTGTCCTCACCCACCTATTTTCTAGATCTGGCACTATGCAACCTGTGGGTCCTTCCCAAGGCAAAATGGCCTTGAAAGATAAACACTTTAAATCAGTTCAGGATACTGAGGCAATCACAACACAACTAAGGATACTCATGAAGGGAGACTTCCAGAACTGCTTCAGAAAGTGGCAAGAATGAGGGATAAGTGTTTTGAAGCAAGGGGGAGGATTCTGAGGGGAGAGTCACAGAAATGTGTCTTATGAAATAATGTTTTTAATGAAAACATTCACCATATTTTCTGACCACACTTTATATAGTCAGAAGGTCTCTCTAAAAGCAGTTTTGATCCCATTGACCTCCATTGCCTGGAAGATCAAACTTAAGTGTCTGAGCAGGAATTAAAAGTCCTGTTCCTGTGCTCTTCCTGCCTTATCCCTTATCCCTCATCCATCTTACCCTACTCTGAACTCTCTCCTATCTGAGTCTTCATGCTGCCTGAGGTCTCTGCCTGGTACATTTCCTCAGCCTCCCACCCCACCCCAAGGAACAAGTCACCAACTTCCTTCCAGAGCCTTCCCTGACCAAGGCTTCTCAACTGTGTTCCTGTCCCATCTTGTCAGTGCACAGGGATCAAAGGGAGCCAACTTGCCCTTCTGCCATGATGGTTCATACCTGCTCATCTGTCTTCATTGTTAACAACTCCTCCTCTCTTTCTCAAAACCATACTTGTTTGGACAATAAATTACTTCGTCATTTTACAATGAACACCTAAGGTTGGTCAGATTGTCTGATTCCGCTCTAGACAATAAACTTTACAAGGTCAAACAATCCATCTTATTCATAACCACAGCTGGTGCAGCACCCAGCACCCCAGAGACATGAAGTACTTGGTAAGCAAATGTACTTATATAACGTACAAGCATGCATTCTCACTGGGATATGTGTCATATGTGGTTTCTGGGTTTGCTACTGAGAATCAATATCGTACCCTTCCCTCTAAATGTATAGATTAATATTTCACAAAATTATTTTACATGTATATTTTGAAGACATTTTGATATTTTCAATCTAAGTCCAAAACACACAGATGCAGATGATATAGATGTAGATACAGGTACAGAGACAGAGGTGAAGATACAGATTTGCCAGTGACCCACAAGAGGGTCAGAGTGCACACTAATATTACAGTCAGCACCCAATGGAATTGGTTTTCTCCCTATGAAGCAAAAAGCCTATTTCCCAACCAACTTTGGCCTCATATGCACTAGGCTTTATCAAAGTAAAAAACAATAAAAAAATCTGTTTTTTTCAAAGTATTTTGATACTTACATCAGATAACATTGGTTCATCAACTTCTTCCACTCTGCTCAAGTTCGGCGCCCCATATCGATCACTAATTTCTGCTAGAGTTTTGCCTGACTCTTGTGCTCCTTCCTACAATCACAAAATTCCTTCTTACTTGTATGACTTCAAAATTAATATATTACTTTTCTTTCAATTTTGATATAATAATCTGAATTGAAACAGCAAAATTCAAAACGGTTAATTAATGGAATTAATCAATATTTGTAAAGGGAAAGAGATTTCTAGTAAGTGCTAAAGTTTATTTTAAAAATACATTCAGAAACTTAAAACGTATGATTTATAAATAATTCTGTGGCCAATATCTCAGCATATTCTAGCTTCTAAAAACATATATACACACTGAATCCAATTTTTACTCATTTTGAGATTTTGCCTATCACAATATATATTTGGACTATCGTTCTGACAATACCCTTATTAAAATTTTGGCACTGAAGCATAAAAATTAAGCTTTATAGTCTAGGATCTTCACTTATTTCCCATAATACAGAATATCTTTTTCTTCTCACCTCTGAATGTAAAGCATCTTCACCCTTGGCTATATTTTCCATATTCATTCTCTTCTCCTAGAGCATATAAAAGTTAAGAAAATACTTAACTATGCTTCAATTTGATTCCATGTGTAATTTTCAAGCATTTTATTTTTAAGTAATGCTATGGATAACAGCAAAAATGCTGTCATACTTTAAGGAGTGATCTGAATACACTTAACCCAAAACTGCAGATCATAGTTTAATACTCCATACTAATAGAAGGTAACTGTATTTTACTTATAATTAAATAATTTTTAAAAAGTGAAATGGGGTAAAAATTTTAAATTGAAGTAAAATTATTAGGGAATATGACAAGGGACAAAATAAAAGTTCTAATGCAATCTTAGAATAAGAGATTTTAAAGAGAAGGTGCAGTTAAGTGGACTTTTATATACACAAAGAAGTAAATATTTAAGGAATTAATTTTGTCACAGTTCGCATCCAATGCCACAGCTTTCTCTTAGCAGTGCTCTCAAGGATGCTCTGAATGCTGTCATAGCCCAGCAGGAAGGCTGAATGTGAAATGTTTTCTGAATGTGAAACACTCTTGAACCCAGCCAACCCTTGCTGTAACATAGGTCATTTCAATCGAAGGTAGTAGGGCAGCCTAGCAGACCCTGAGCAGATTCAGTTGGCCATACATAGGGTCACCCTACTTATGAGGACATGCCTGGTACTATTTTCCAAAGTCAACTCCATTCTCCTGCACTCTCATGGCTCTTCAGGGATGTCTCTGTTCTTATGTGACCATGATTCCCAGCCCTAGAGATAGATATTTGACACAAACTAAGCCAAAATTCTTCCCTTAACTGAAACCAAAATAGAAATCCATTCCTCTAGGATGGTAGGAGCCACAACATGAAACTCAGACCCATTAAGGACTACATTATTCAGTTCTGTGCAGCACAGCAGACCATCACAAGAGAGAATCAAATAAACAACCAGAGAATAGCAGAGACTGGAGCCCTGGCAGCACTGGGTTCTCTTGTTCCCAGTCTGGAAGGTCCCAGTATAACCATGTCCTGTACAGTTTAAGAGTTAAATGCTTTCTTCAATTCAGGGCCCTTCCAACCCATTTCCTTTTGAGAATGATAGTTTAAATTGTGTGTCTGCAGCCACAAAGGCAGCCAGGGCAAAGGACATGAAGGCACTCATCTCTGAGTAATGGGTGAGGATGGAATACTTTTCTGGGAGAGATGAGAAATGACAGCCCAGAGAAGATATGACTTAAAGTTATTGTGATTCTGGTCACACAGGCGCTGATGCCTGAAAAGAATGAAACATCGTGGGTGTGACCCTCTGGAATCACAAAACTAGGACCAGCGACTTTCAAGCACTCAAATAGAGCTGACAAATCACCTCAGCAGAAAAAAAAAATTACATTTTCTTATTTGATCCTTGTCTTTCATTTTTGATCACTAACACAGCTAAATTTATCCTTTAGCATTCCATCTTTTTTACTCAGTTCATTTTTAAACTTAATTTAATTAACTAATAAGAACAATGAACATTCTATAAAACACATTCAATTATGGGCTCAATAAGGAGAGTAGGGTTCCTGGCCACGGCATAGTGAGGTCCCAGGAGTGGCTTGGAGGCCCGCCTCCATCCGGCGCTCCTCTCTGCGGGTCAGCTAAGCAGCCTGAAGCTCCTCGGCTTCCTCCCCGTTCCTGGCCACGCCACCCTGAGGTCACAGGAGTGGCTTGGAGCCCCACCTCCATCCGGTGCTCCTCTCCTCGGGTCAGCCAAGCAATGTGCAGCTCCTCTGTGTACCGGTTCCTGCCCACTCCACGGTGAGGTCACAGTAGCGGCTTAGAGGACTGCGTCCACCTGGTGCTCCTCTGCATGGGTCAGCCAAGCAGCATGAAGCTCCTCAGCTTCGTCCCAGTTCCTGGCCACAGCATGCTGAGGTCACAGGAGTGGCTTGGATCCCTGCCGCCCTCCTGCACTCCTCTCTGGGGTCAGCCAAGCATCGGGAAGCTCCCTGGCTGCATCCCAGTTCCTGGCCAAGCCACACTTAGGTCAAAGGAGCAGCTTGGAGCCTGCCTCAATCTGGTGCTCCTCTCCACGGGTCAGCCAAGCAGCGTAAAGCTCCTTGGCTGCATCCGGGTTCCTGCCCATGCCACGGTGAGGTCACAGGAGAGGCTTAGAGCCCCACCTCCATCCAGCGCTCCTCTCTGTGGGTCAGCCAAGCAGCGTGAAGCTCCTTAGCTTCGTCCAGTTTCCTGGCCACACCAGGTGAGGTCCCAGGAGTGGCTTGGAGCCCCGCCTCCATCTTGTGCTCCTCTCCGCGGGTCAGCCAAGCAGCATGAAGGTCCTAGGCTGTGTCCCGGTTCCTGGCCATGCCAAGGTGAGATCACAGGAGTGTCTTGGAACCCTGCCTCCATCTGCTGCATCTCTCCTTGGGTCATCCAAGCAGTGTGAAGCTCCTCGGCTACATCTCAGTTCTTGGCGATGCCCCTGTGAGGTCACAGGAGCGGCTTGGAGCCCTGCCTCCATCTCATGCTCTTCTCTGCGGGTCAGCCAAGCAGTGTGCAGCTCCTCCTCTGTGTCCCGTTCCTGGCCACGGCACGATGAGGTCACAGTAGCAGCTTGAAGGCCCACGTCCTTCTGGCGCTCCTCTGCATGGGTCAGCCAAGCAGCGTGAAGGTCCTCGGCTGCATCCAGGTTCCTGGCCACACCATGGTGAGGTCACAGGAGCGACTTGGAGCCCCCCATTAATCCATCGGGTGCCCCTCTCCCCGGGTCAGCCAATCAGAATGAAGCTCCTAGGCTGCGTCCCAATACCAGGCCACTCATTGGTGAGGTCAAAGTAGCGGCTTGGATCCCCACCTCAACTAAGTAAGCCCTTCTCTCCGCGGGTCAGGCAAGCACCGTGAAGCTCCTTGGTTGCGTCCTATTTCCTGGACATGCAACATTGAGGTCACAGGAGCGGCTTGGAGTCCTGCCTCCATTCAGCGCTCCACTCTTCGGGTCAGCCATGCAATGTGAACTCCTTGTCTGTGACCCTATTCCTGGCCACGCCACGGTGAGGTCACAGGAGCAGCCTGGAGCCCCGCCTCCATTGGGCACTCTTCTCTGCGGGTCAACCAAGCAGCATGAAGCTCCTGGACTGCATCCCGGATCCTGGCCATGCCATGGTGAGGTGACAGGAGTGGTTTGGAGCCCCGCCTCAATCTGGCGCTCCTCTCTGAGGTCAGCCAAGCAGCAGGAAGCTCCCTGGCTGTGTCCGGGTTAGTGGCCAAGCCACTGTGAGGTCAAAGGAGCAGCTTGCAGGCCCGCCTCAATCCGGCGCTCCTCTCCGCAGGTCAGCCAAACAGTGTGAAGCTCCTCGACTGCATCCAGGTTCCTGGCCACGCCCTGGTGAGGTCACAGGAGAGGCTTAGACCCCCACCTCCATCTGGCACTCCTCTCTTCCGGTCAGCCAAGCGGCATGAAGCTCCTCAGCTGCGTCCTGGTTACTGGCCACACCATGATGTTGTCACAGGAGCGGCTTGGAGCCCCGCCTCCATCCCCCGCTCCTCTCCATGGTCAGCCAAGCAGCGTGAAGCTCCTTGGCTGCATCCCGGTGCCTGGCCACACCACGGTGAGGTCCCAGGAGCAGCTTGGAGACCTGCGTTAATCCATCCAGTGCTCCTCTCCACAGGTCAGCCAATCAGCATGAAGCTCCTCGGCTGTGTCCAGGTTCCTGGCCATGCCACACTGAGGTCACAGGAGCACCTTGGAGCCCCGCCTCCATCCTTTGCTCCTCTCCATGTGTCAGCCCAAGAGCATGAAGCACCTCGGCTGCATTTGGGTTCCTGGCCACACCACGGTGAGGTCACAGGAGCGGCTTGGAGCTCCACCTCCATCTGGCACTCCTTTCTGTGTGTCAGCCAAGGAGTGTGAAGCTCCTCACCTGCATCCTGGTTCCTGACCATGCCACGGTGAAGTCACAGGAGTGGCTTCGAGCCCCACTTCCATCTGGCGCTCCTCTCCATGGTTCAGCCAAGCAGCATGAAGCTCCTCGGCTTCATCCTGGTTCCTGGCCATGCCACGTATAGGTCACAGGAGGGACTTGGAGCCCCACCTCCATCTGGCGCTCTGCTTAGGTGTGTGGGTGCCTGCAAGGCCCAGTTCCACTCCCCGCCACCCCACCTTCCCGCTCTTCTGATACCTGGTCCCACACTACAGAGGAACAGAATATTTTACTTCACATAGTTAAATGTGATAGACTAATAACTACCACAAATTGTCATTTTCTAAGCTGTGCTTGATGCTATGGTATTGCTGACTATGTCATTTGGGCTAACATGTTGCGATTGATCTAATCAGTTTTCCTACCTGGTATAAGGAAAATAAAATAGCCTCAGAGTCATTAGAGCCTCAAAACCTAAACACAAGCTATATCTGGAAGACACCTCTGAAAAGCAATCATTCCACAAGTGTTTTAAATACAAGCAAAAAACATACCTGCATTAAGCAATTTTGAAATATCAACCCAGGAATTAAAACAAGGACAGTACCAAAAACAAATTGAGAAGACATTTAAACAAGGCACAAATGGAGGCTTCCATGCCACAAAAAGGAAATTCTGGGGGAAATGAGGTGGAAAAGTTTGTTAATCAACCACCTGAACACCCTGAACTGATAGCACAGGAAGTAACAAAGCAGATGCATGAGGCTCTAGAAAAATTCAAAGCAGAAATAATCTCCCAGATAAATACTGAGACGATGAGTAGAGTGAAAGACATGATTAGAGGCTCTAGAGCAGAAACAGATAAGAAAATAGATGAGATCAGAATCATGCTGGAAACCATGAATGCCCAGCATAAGAAAGAAATGGAAACCATGATCACCCAACATAAGAAATGGAATCCATGAAACAGATTCAAACAGATATTGAGGAGATTAAACACTGCATTGAAAGCATGCAGAGAAGACTAAGAGAATCTGAAGACAGAATATCAGATATAGAAGACATGATCATGGTTAAGGACCATGAAAACAGAGATTTCTTAAAGATAGTAAGGGACCAAGAGAAATCAATCCAAGAGCTGCTAGATGATGCAAAGAATAACATAAAACTGATAGAAGTTCACGAAAAAAAAAAGGAGAAAGTACAATAGACATGAAAAAAACTGTTCACAGAATAGTAGAAAACTTCCCAGACAGAGGTGGACAATTGGACACACAGATAAGGGAGGCATATAGAACTCCATCCAGCCATGATCAAAAAACATCTACACCTAGACATATAACACTCAAGATCCCAGAAACCCAACAGTAGAACAAAATTCTACAGGCAGCTAGAGGAAAGAAACAAATCACTTACAAAGGAAAGTCCATCAGAATCGTCACAGATTTCTCAACACAAACCCTCAAATCAAGGAGAGCCTGGAGTGAAGTATTTCAAGCCCTAAAAGAAAATTACTTCTAACCTAGACTGTTGTATCCAGCAAAATTATCTTTCAAAATTGATGGGGAAATTAGATACTTCCATGACAAAGAACACCTGAGAAATTTTATGAACACCAAACCAGCAATCCAAACAATTTTATGCAATATCCTAGAAAAAGACAATGAAGGTCACAACTCCATGAGGGCCAACAGAGAAGACACCACACAAGGTAAGGCTCTAAAGGGAAAGGGGGAAAAATAAGAAATAAAAGAGCCAACAATAAAACATCATGGCAAGAAAGAGTCAATATCTCTCAACTATAACTATCAATATTAATGGCCTCAATTCACCAATCAAAAGAAATAGACTGACAGAATGGATTCAGAAGCAAAACCCAGCAATATGCTGTATACAAGAAACACACCTAACTTCAAAGGAAATTCATAGACTGAAAGTAAAAG